TTATATTCAGACCGGAGACAGGATACTGGCTATGCCTCCCAATGAAACCTGCAATGTCAAAGGTACGCAATGGTGTAGATAGATAGATTTTTTTTTTTTTTTTTTAAGATAGTGTGATGGTGTGTCATTGTTGCCAGTCTGGCATGGTGACTGACTTTCCACTTTTCATTGTCACAAGTCCTGCAGAGCATTTTTCTTATAGATAACAGTGAGAAAATTATTATTCAGTTTAAAGTCTCATCAGAGCATGAAGCCTGTGCCTCAGAACCTGCCTCTGTTCATGCCAGAGATAGCTGCTAATATGCTACAAGGATCCCACAAGGCTCACTCAAACACCCACGACATGGTGGAAATACCTAAGAAAAGACACTATTCTATTTGTTTTGGCATCCAGACATCACATTACTATAACTGGAAGGATATATAGTGTATGCACTGTATTGATATCATCCTTCGCTCTATGCTGTGTATAGTGTCTCACTGTTGCCCTATATAGTTTGCCTACTGTATCTGCTGCACATGTTTCCTACTGTACAGATCTTGCATGTCAGAATGCCAGCTTCAAGCATAGCTGCATCTGAGGCCGCCTTTTTGTCATCTCTGAATGTGGATGACAGTTGAATAAGTGGTGACAAACACTGCCATCCTGTGGTAGTTGTGGGACTTACACTCTCTGTCTTCGCCACAGGTATAACCCTACATGACGAGGCTTTGGACTGGGCTGCAGCAGGAGACCATGTCAGCCTGACAGTCACCGGCATGGACATCATCAAGATCAAGTAAACAAAATTTTACATGTGTTTATTATAACATTTAATATAAGCTGGTGATGCATGTTGTAAACGCTTGGATTGTGAACGTTTGGCTGTATTTAGTGATATCTTGCTTCCTTCCAGCGTGGGCTGTGTGTTCTGTGATACCAAGGAGCCTATTCGAGTCTGTACTCGATTCAGAGCCCGAATCCTTCTCTTCAATATCGAGGTCCCCATCACTCAGGGATTCCCAGTAAGTGCAAGCAAACACACTGTACACGCTCACACAGTTAAACTCTTTTTTTTAATGTTAATTGTGCTTGTGTGCTGGTTGTACAGACTTGAAAACTCTGTTTCTGTTCTATTATATGTGCTTGTTTGTTCATTCTGTGTGTGTGTGTGTGTGTGTGTGTGTGTGTGTGTGTGTGTAGGTGTTGCTGCATTACCAAACAGTCAGTGAGCCGGCCACCATTAGGAAACTGATAAGCGTTCTACACAAGAGCAGCGGTGAGGTCCTCAAGAAAAAACCAAAGTGAGTGCTGGGGCGAGGCCTTGTAGTACATTTTATATTGTGAATATAAGTACTCATAAGAACTTAAACATAGAAATCCACCTGGATGTGTCATTACTCCTTCTGTGTTTCCTTCCTGTTAAGGTGTTTGAGTAAGGGTATGAATGCCATCGTGGAGATCCAGACCCAGAGGCCAGTGTCATTAGAACTGTACAAGGACTACAAGGAACTGGGCCGCTTCATGCTGCGATATGTGGGCTCCACCATTGCTGCAGGGGTTGTCACTGAGGTAAAGTAAAGTAAAAAGCAAGAAATAGATTGTATAATTGCTTAGAAGTGGCTTGATGTTTTAAACTACTATCCTGTTCTTGAGGTACTTCACCTTTCTACTCTATATAGGAAGTTCTGTTTTTCCCTCTTTGATAAAGCATCCTTAGTCATTCTCCTTCTGACTTTTCCTCACTGCAGATCATAAAATGAAGAGCACATGGACACAGAGCCAGCCAGGCTTGCTCTGGAGACTGCATGCAGCCAGAGACGAAGTGCAATTCCTCAAGAGACTCAGAGCGTCACAGTCATTCATCCATCCATCCATCCATCCATCCATCTTTCTATCCAGCACAGCAGCTGCTACACCTGACAGCTCTGATCAACACTAACTTAACTGCACAGATAACCAACCATGTGTGGTAGGATGCTGAGCGTTCGTCAAACAGGCACATTACCCAACTACCCCTACTTCCCACATCCCCGTCTGACCCTTCGCCAGTTAGTGAAACCCTGTTGCTCTCAATTCACCAAATCAATAACATAGACAGTCCTAACATGCTGAGATTTCAGCAGTGATTAATTTCACTGTACTCTCATTGAAGGAGCTATGGATTATTTATCTTGGCTGAAAAAGAAAGAATCTTGGTGGAGCAACCAGTGCAGATAGTTTAACTGGAGCTGTTTAATATGACATTTGCTTTTTGCTGTTAACATATGGCTGGGATTTACTAACATTTTCCATCATAAGGCTCTCTTATTCAAAATCGCTGACCTGAAATTACAATATTTTAAATTTAGACAGAAACGAAAGAATGCACGAGTTATAGGCAAAACATTTTATAGTGTTTTATTTTTACTTTAAGAATGTTTGCATCTCAGATTACATAGCTAAGGGGGCAAGGTCCACTCTAACCAGGGTAGAGTAGTTTGTGAACAAAAAAGGGAAGCTTAAATGATAAAAACGCCTCCCTCTGGATAAAGAGACAGAATTCTCATTTATGTTAACAAATGATACTTGAAATGCTTCTACAGTAAAGCACAGGAATTTGTGCCGATCTGTGTTTATTTTTTTTTTTCTATCAAAGACTCAGCTAAGTGGAGGAGCTGTGTTTCTGTTTCTCCATGTGTAAAATCTGACATGTTGGTTACAGATGGTGTGAAGGAAGATGGCACAAAAATGAACATGACATCAGCAACATGTGGTTTGAGTTTTGATTTCAGCGACTTTGAAGTGTCCCTTTCTGTCCAACTAAAAAGAAAACTTTTAAAGCTTTGTGACAAGTTTATGGCAATACAGTCTGTGAAAATGAGCATCTACCACGCCAGCAAATACACTGCTTTTGTATCTATCAAAATACATACAAGTAAGTAGGAAGTGAAAATGTAGAGGTGATCATTTCCCGTCAGGTTTGACAGTGACACAGCTGGGGTTGTTCCCGTTGGAGTGGAAAGCACCACAAAACACACATCTCACTAATGCCACCACTGAGTGTGACTTTGCACAGTTAAAAAAAAAAAGGCTTACTAAACATGAAGTTAGCTTCTTTTTCAGTTTCTACCTGCGGACGCCAAGGTCATGCATGCGAAATTGCGGTGGGCAAAGTTGCTCAGCACTTCCAGTTATACACTTTTTTTTTTCCGGAATTGTTGACATGGTGGAAAGACGAGGAACAAGTGTTGTGAGAAAGAGTAAAACATCAGAGGAGTTCGGAATTTAATTAACGACTAGTCAATGGAAAGAGTGAAAGGAATTAAATCCTAAGACAAATACTTTTTGCCTTTTATTTTATCTATGCAGCTCAAAGGCATCACCATCACGTCATAAATAAAGCTCCCTTCTATCTTTTTCCAGAATGACAGAGAAAGAACTGCAGTCGATCAAATATGCTTTTATATTTTCCATTTGGAAATAAATTAAATTTAGACATGTTATTAATCCAAAATAAACAAACTCTGTGGAGCTAACTTTAAGCTTTGTTGAAGAATTATATAGATTTTTATTTCGATTATGAATCGTGACAAAATGAAGGGTGCCCTGCCTGTCTGCAAAAGCCCTACACTCACCAAAACAGACCTGTGACACCCTGTGGGGAGGACAGTACACACATTAAAAGAACCAAATAGTGGAAAATTGAAGTAAAAGAACAAATTATAATGCAAACAGTGACAGATTTTGTGTTTGCATTTGTGAAGGTTTCTGGGTTGGTTCTCAGATAACGTTTCGGTGTGATAAAGGTTATGATTTTTGTCTCTGATAAAACAGTCAGTTCCTGCATACAAACACAGGAAGGTAATTGTGCATGAAAGCTGGCCAAAGGTTAGTTGTGAAAAACAAACCGTGCAACACGATACAGTAACCCTGCAATATATATTAACTTGATTCTGTCTTCTGTAATGATGTGGTGATTTATCATCTCAGTCAATTAAAGATGCATACTGCTAATTGTTATTCATTCAACTTAATGACTCACTGCTCTAGTTGTAGCGTCACAAACACTGAAAAATGATATATAACGTGACGGGGGCAAAGGTCAGAAAAATCTTGCCATGTCATTCTAGACCCAAGAAACAGAACAACAGTGGGATCAAATATACACTGACTGATAGACAGATGCTTTGCTTGCTTTGAATGAAAGTTTACTTAATTTTGATGATTTCCATATTTGTCATTGTTACTGTCAGTCAAAAGCCTCATGAAGAGGACTTACCGCCACACACATACAGACTCTGTAGGTCCCCCAGCTACCACAAGATGGCAGCGTTCAGTAACATGCAATCTCTACAGTCATTTACATGGAAGATGAACACATGCATTCAAGTGTTCTGCCACAGAAATACAAAAAAATTCCTGCAGTCAAATATGTCTCATCATCCTGGAACACATTTGAAGTACAAAGCCTAAAAGTCTTTTTTACTACAGAACCCTGAGGGGGCTCTGAGGAATTTATAAGAGCCAAGAGGACAACGATGATAAGAACTGTTGATGCTTCAGGTCTAGTGTCCCATACTGTGATGATGAATCGCTTTCTCTGTAAATGGATGAGTAATGCTGTGGCTTAATCATCAGAATCTGCCTTCCTGAATCAGCACTTACTAAAACTGACACACAGTTGTGTACTAAAGGCACGACAAGCATCTAAACACGTCTCCAGGAAAACAGTATGTAGATTACTTTTTGCACTGTCATGATCTAAAGGTGAGCTCTTGTGTGGCCCTACATGTGTGGGTACACTTGTGGTTTTGAATGAAGGTCTATTACTTGTAGTGGTGTTTTAAAAGTGTGGAAAAGTGATTAAAATTAACCTTATTCATTCATACACCTGCTTTATTTAAAGCTTCATTTATATTTTCAATGAGCACGTGCTATTTATAAGAACTTTGATTACAAACAACCAATGCTGTGACCTAATTGGCTCCACTCACCATACTGTGTTTTATTGTGAAATGTGGGAGGATCGGTGCAGGTAGGGTTATCTTGACTTTGCAGTTTGATTCATGCCACTGGAGACAGTGCCTGCAGCAGCCTTCTGTCGTTTTCTCAGTGTGTCGTATTGGTTTGGTAGCATCGGTTGACAACCATGTCGAAGACCTCATACCTGGTTTTGGAGAACTTCATCGGAGGCAAGTTCGTGCCTTGTCGGAGTCACATTGACTCCTACGACCCGTCCACCGGAGAGGTCTACTGCAAAGTACCTGACAGCGGCGAGGAGGAGGTGGGACATCCACAATTACAATATGATTATTATTATTACACTGCACTATGCATTCGGTATTTTCTCTGCAGAAACATAATTAGTATTGAGAGTGAATGCAAGTGCATTGGCCTTAGGCCTATAGGGCAGGTTTTCTGCAAAAGCCCTGCTACAGTACATTTGTAAAACTGATGTTGACATTTTGTTGAGGTTTTCACACCAGTGTAGCACAAATGTTAGGAAATATTTGTAGGACTGGATGAGGTCAGCTGTATTATTCCTCTTTTTCAGTGCATTTGACCTGTGTTTGACACATGTTGGAATTTTTGAGACCTTTTTGAAATCTTATGTCTCAATTCAACTCAATTCCATAAATTGTACAAAAGGGTAGCCTTTATTGCAGGGGTATCGTGCTGAATTGCATTTCATTATAAGAGCTGTTAGTGTATTTAAACCAGATTTTACTTGCACTGAGCTCGTGGTCACAGAGGTACTTTGCTCTTTACTGAGTCAACAGTCAAGTAATCATTAAACATATGACATGTCAATTATAAACCTTAGATTTTAGTGCTTAACAGATTTAGAGATTAAGAGATTTATCATTTATTACTTATTGTTATTGTAGTATTTTGTGAAATCAACATTTCCAGCCATTATAAAAGTGTACAGACAGACAATATACAATGTACTTCTGCACCTCTGCACAGCTTGTGGCCTCAGTGTGGACATGATGTGACTTTAGCAAAGACTGTTTTTTTTTCTTTTGAACTTCAGAACCTAAAGTTTTAATCTGATGGATTTTTAGAAATTATAAAATGTGAAGGAATCTAGTATTTCACAAGAAATATAGATAACGTATTTTATGTAAAATAAATTTTGTCTCATCTACCTCTAATCGTCTTGTGACCCCTCACATTTGTTTTGGGACCGCTGATGGTAGTGTAAGTATCGCCAGTATGCTAATCTCTCAGAGCTTTACTGCCTGCAGGTGGAGGCAGCGGTGGCAGCTGCTAAAGAAGCCTTCCCTGGGTGGTCTGAGCGCAGCCCAGAGCAGCGAGCACAGGTCCTCAACAAGCTGGCCGACCTGTTGGAATCCCACCTGGAGGAGTTTGTCCAAGCAGAGTCCAAAGACCAAGGTGTCTTTCACTGTTTAAACACATGTTGTATCAAAGTCAGGTTCAGTCAATCGGTGGTCAGTGGGTCAGGATTTGTTTTTAGTAGTAACAAGGGGCCACTGGCTTTAAAAGTGCAGGGCAGAGCAAACAATATACTGATCATTTTTATTGTTTTTTTGGCTCGTACCAGTAGTTGTACTTACAAATGATGCCAGATGAAATAGGGTGCTGGCATGGGTTTACTAAAACCACAAGGTCATGAATGTACTAAGTAATCTATGTATTAGATTATGTTTATATATATATATCTATATATTGTGCACTAAGCTGACAATTGTCCTGAGAGTGGCTCTAAAAGATAAGCTCAAGCACTGTCAAAAATAAACAGGGATCATGCCCTGTGAATGCTCAAGTCAATTTAGTGGCAATTTTGATATTTCTTATGCACAGTACAGATAATACATTTTGCAACACTCAAGTAAAGATTAACAGGTCATGAAAAACATTAGGATTTATACTCTATTTTTGAGACCGCAAACATTCACAGTGTTTATGGAAATCCTGCCACTTGATTTTTGGGATATAGAAAAGATATAGAAAGTGTGGGTGAAAGGGACATTTTGACCTGATAATAGTGCTAGAGGAAAGTCAATATGAGTATTTGATCTGTGTTTCAACACACAATATGTGGTGCATGGTTAATCTGTTATCTTGGTATTTTTGTAGAACTAATGCATATTTAAACAGAATGCCCACAACCTAAATAAAACACAACCACAGTACATCAGTAAATCAGTGATGTATCATTCTCTGCTGTTTATCGCTTTGGTGTAACATTACAGGTAAAACAGTAACATTTGCACGGACTGTGGACATTCCCCGATCGGTGCACAACTTCCGCTTCTTTGCATCTTCGGTGCAGCACCACACCACCGACTGCAGCCAGATGGACCACATGGGCTGCCTGAACTACACCATCCGCTGCCCTGTGGGAGTGGGTGAGAGCTCAGTGTGTTTGCATTAAAACCTGTAAAGATTATATTTGTGCTTTCTGTATTTTTAAATTGTGTTGTGTTTGTAGCCGGTCTGATCAGCCCATGGAATCTCCCCTTGTACCTGCTTACCTGGAAGATTGCACCTGCAATCGCTACAGGCAACACAGTGGTAGCAAAACCCAGTGAAATGACCTCCGTGACCTCCTGGATGATGTGCAAGCTGATGCAGCAGGCCGGTAGGACTACAGCACCCACAATGCAATAGCAATCCACTTACACACACAGAAGTTAGAAGGATTCTCTCATGAATCATTACACATAGACATGATTCTTCACTTTAAAGTATTGCTATTAAAACACTTTTACCTGTATTAAACATGAGTAATAAGAAACAAATGATGGATACATAAACCTGTTTACCTCTGCAGGGGTTCCTCCGGGAGTAGTCAACATTGTATTTGGCACTGGCCCGAGAGCAGGCAACGCACTCGTTGGCCATCCTGACGTCCCGTTGATCTCCTTCACTGGCTCCACGCCAACTGCCCGGCACATCACAGAGCGGAGCGCCCCCTACTGTAAGAAGCTCTCACTGGAGCTGGGAGGTAAAAACCCTGCCCTTATTTTTGCTGATGCGGACCTGGACCAATGCATCGAGACCACTGTTCGCTCCAGCTTCTCCAATCAGGTGGGCAGAGAGTTTTAGTGAGTCTTTTAAGACACTATTTAAGATTAAGAAGATTAAGAATTTTTACAGTTGTTTTTTTATTTTACATGCTCTTGTGAGGGTTATTATCAAAGCTGGCAGGAGGGTTTACCAGGGACCCCAAAACCTCCAAGATTATTGTGGGTGAAATGTTTTGTGCTAATTTTATAGACATTTTTTTTGGCAATATGATCCACTGAAGCATATATCAACTGAGAGTAAAATAATTTGTTAAAAAAAGAGCCAAGATCCACTTAATAGCTTCTTCAGTATTTTTCAGCCACATGCATCTCATGGTCAGTTGTAGTTGTCAGTTGGAATTTGTCTGTTAAAATCTAGCAAATGGGCCTTGAGTCAAGATTTTTTTCTTGTCAAAACACATATCAACTGAAATGTGAAAGAAATCGTTTATTTACAAGAGTTTTTGGGGAAATACACTTACAGTTAGATGGGAAGATTTCTACCACTCTCATATCTGTACTGTAAATATGAAACTGCTGTGGGCAGTCAGTCAGCTTAGCCTAGCTTATCTTTTGTACAGTTTTAACAAACGATAACATGTTCATAAGTGAGCTTTAGAGGGGCTAATAGGCAGTTACCTTTGGACAGAGCTAGGATAGCAGTTTTCTCTTATTTCTAGTGTTTATGTTAAGCTAACCAGCTGCTGGCTGTAGCTTCATATTTAACTGTCAGTAAAAGAGCTATAGGCATATTTACCAATATGTCAGACTTTTCCATCAAGGGTGCGACCTACTTAATTTCCTCATCTTGAAACCCTCCTCTTAAGAGAGTTCATGTGTCAAAAGAAAACTTTAGAATAACTTAATTTCAGTTTTGGACTGCATATGGGCTGAGTAGCTTATATTTTCCCATGGGCCCTCCAGCAGGTTAATCTTAATCTGTGTTTTAATCTTTAAAGCTCTTGTAAATTTGTTTTTGCCAGAGCTGCAAAAGTAAAGATTAGCTTTATTCCTTTTCTTATTGTTAATGTCAATAAAATGCATGCCGTTATCTGTGTGAACAGCTGTTATGTCTGCATGTGATGAGGATGCAGTGACATGATTTACCCACGTGGGGGAGATCACTGCCTATATTTTGTTGTAGGTAGACGCATGAAAACAGTGTTCAGAACAGTCAGTGCTTCAAACAAAACCCTCCAACTTCTCCCCTTCCTTCCATCTCTCAGGGAGAAATCTGCTTGTGCACCAGTAGGATTTATGTCGAGAGGAGTATTTACTCTCAGTTCCTGAAAAGGTTTGTGGCCGCAGCTAAGAAGTGGAAGACAGGTGTGCCCTCTGACCCCAGCAACAACAACGGAGCACTCATCAGCAAAGAGCACCTGGAGAAGGTGATGAAATAAAGTGTCAAATGATGTGAAAGACCATTTGAAAACAAGTTCTTTCCAATACCTTAAGTTGAAATCCCTCTTTGTCTTGATCCCCAGGTCCGAAGCTTTGTGGCACTCGCCAAATCTGAAGGCGGCGTCATCCACTGCGGTGAGGGTGTTGACCAGCTGAGCCTCCCTGAGCGCAATGCCAACGGCTACTTTATGCCCGTCACTGTCATCTCAGGCATATCTGACAGCTCCCGCGTCATGCAGGAGGAGATCTTCGGCCCTGTCACCTGTGTCAGCCCCTTTGACACAGAGGATGAGGCTGTTTCCAAGGGTAACGGCGTGCGTTATGGTCTGGGTGCCACCGTGTGGTCCCGGGATGTGGGCAAGGTTCACCGGGTGGCCAAGCGGTTACAGGCGGGTCTGGTGTGGACCAACTGCTGGCTGGTGAGAGATCTGAACCTGCCTTTTGGAGGGATGAAGAACTCTGGTGTGGGGAGGGAGGGAGGGAAAGATTCCTACCACTTTTTCACTGAGGTGAAGAGTGTCACGATCAAACACTAAGAGAGAGAGGAAAGAGGGCAGCAGTGGCAAGTCTTGATTGATACAACATTTTCTGCTGGAAGCAGGTGCAGAAATATGGAGAAGGTTTTGCAGTCAGTCTTGACATTCACCAACCTCTGCTAGTCACTCTTTGGAATTTCAAACACAAATTTCTCCTCCCACCCTCTTGGATTACTGGAGCCTGTAATTAAGTCACATTTGTAGAATACAAAAGTCAGAGAAAGTCACAATGGAATAATACAGATGAATAAACAAGCAAAGATTCAATAGAAATGTCTAGTGAAGAGGAAATAATTTTCAAATCATGTTCATACCTTTTTCCTTCACTCTTTGCTAAATATTTTGTAGCACTATCCTCTACTGTTGAGTTGAAATGCATTGGGTAGCATGTGTTAGGGTTTAAAATAAAAAAAGGTACAGACCAGACAAGGTGAACCCAGATAAGGCATAAGCTTATTTATTGCCCATTTCAAGAAAAGAAGTCAAGAGTACAATTTATGAAGTTAGGAACAGCAACTTTATCCAACATCCTTTAAAGTTTACACTGCAGGTGTGGGTCCTGCAGTGTAAACTCTAAAGTTCAGGACGTAACATAATAATTCTGAAAAGAAGGAATACAAACACTGATAATACTTAATAAAAAAGTAAAAATGTAACACATGTAATTTGCCAAATTAAATGCCACATGTTGTTCATTGTGTTTTTATGTTTGAGTTATGTCATTGTTGTCCGTGGAATGCAGTAGCTCTTGATAGTATCTACGCCCGGATTCTGAGTCTGTCACATGAAAGCAGGTCTGCAGATAGATAATCATTCCGTTTTACATCAGCACACTTTTCATGTGTCATGGCGTTATCGTTTATGGCTGCACATTTGGTCAAAGTCTGCTATTTTTTTTACGTCATGCAAACCTTACTGTATGTACTCAGAAGTTACTGTTTTACATTGAGTTGTTTTTATGTTCGACCTGCTGACGTAAGAATAGTGAATGAATGCCAAACTGTCCCGCGTGGTGGTTGGACAACATGTTTGGAGAGAGAAATAGGAATCAGCAAGCTGAGTGAACTGAATGAGTGTCTGGAGGCACAGTTTGCAAACACAGAGCTGCCAACTCTCACGCTTTCGCCGTGTGACACACGGTTTTGCCTGTTTTCACACGCACTCACACCACACATCCAATTTCTCACGCAAAAAAAATCCGATCTTGGGCAGAGACTCGTTCCTTCCTTTTTAAACTCCCCGACGGTAGATGGCGCTGATGAGCGCCACTGAACCCTATGCACTGCACCCATATATGCTGCACCCCGTTCTATATATACAGTCTATGGCACCCCGAAGTTACCGACAGAAGAAGAGATACCGAGAAAGACAGCAAGAGAAACTACCTCGAGAAGTCTGATGAGAATCTGAGCTGAGACTAGGTATGTAACAATGAAATGTCGTCCAATTGAGTACTCACTCTCTTAAACTTTAAATCTTGAAATAAATTATTTGTTTGTGTTTGTGCATGTGAACATGATTTAGTGTGTTGAAAGCTGTCATAACAAGCAGCAGGAGACCCGTTTTTGGCTGAACATAAATCATGAAGTGCTCTTAAGAATACAAGTATTCACAACATAGGTTAGGTTTTAGTTAAGAATAAGTTTAATACCATTCTAATCAAAATATTAATCAACCTACACATACCTAGGTCCAATCTTAAACACTGGTCTATGAATAAGGCTTTATTGTGATACAGGCAGTCATTTAGGCACAATAGTTTTCTGGTTGAATGTTCAGCTCAAGTCTAGAAGGCCCTACAAGTCATGATGCCGAACATGAATCAGAATAAGTTCAGGTATTGCACATCTTTAGCAGACCACCCAAAAATCCACTAGAATGGAGGAAATCACATCTACTTAATCCATCCATTTCCTGGGGGTGTACCTTCAGCTATGTCTGCTTCTCAGAATGTAACCAATATTGTCCATCTCCAGTAGGCTGCCCCTATCAGCGGCTTTGGGCCTCCCCACAAACCACCAGAATGCAGGGTACAACATGGGTACAACATGGGTACAACATCAAATGAATTCCAATTCTCTGATATCTGAGCCACCAACTTGTGTGGCTGCGTATGCGGCATCATTTTGGTCACCCCCGACAAAATCTCACTCCAAGGTTTTTTGAAAAGTTGGCAGGTATACAAACATCTGTTATGAAAAATCTTTGGTGCTTCACAGTAGAGCATTCAAATGACAGAATGAAGACGGTATTGATGACCTTCTTTTATTTACAAAAAAGGGGCCATGCTAGAGACCGTAGAAGAGATACATGCTAACATCAGCAGGCTAACATGCTCACGCTGACAATGCTAACATGCTGATGTTTAGCACTAAAGCTTATCAAGTTCACTATTTTAGCTTAGCATGTTAGCAAGTTAAGATTTGTTTTGCAGGTATTCAACCAACTATTAGACAAATAAAAAATTTGACACGATGGTGGTGCTAGGTGAAAGTTTAGGGGATCACCAAAGCTTTTACCCTGGCATGTCATGAAATACCTTAAACACCACATTTGCCAACTGCATATCATATGAGTTTATCATATGAAAAATGCCTCTTAAAAAAAAAGGAAATTAAAGCTTAAAGCATATCCAAAAATTAAAAAATGATGGGTACCACAAAGGTGTGAATCTTGAAGTAGGTGACTAAACTTAAGTGACTTGACATCCAGTACATGTTAAATTGAATCAATAAGTAATGATCAGTATCTGTCCACAGCCATCCTAAGCAGCTTGTTTCATTTTCTCTCAGCCACGTTTTTCCTGCACTTTTCAGCACACTACCCCTCCCCTCTTTGCACCTTACTAAACCGTATTATCTGTCTCCTCTCCTTGCTAAACATCTGATCATGACTTAATGCAGTGTGAGATGAGACTGACGTCGGCAGTGCATCATGCATGCAGATGAGCATGTTGCACTCTGCGCCACCTGAACCCCTGTGCCAGTTTAGGAAAAGAGGGAACATGAAGGACACACCCTATCCCTTATACAAGTGTGTAAAATCACGTCCCCCTGGTGAGGAGTATGTGACATTTACCACAGAGCCAGTGTGTGTGTCCCACCCTCTATGTTTTGGCTAGGGAATGGGTATTGTGCTATGTCACGCTGCATGATTGCATACACACACGCGCTCTTATGCCTTCCTAGAACATAGCGTGTGATGAAATGGATACCACCCAAGAGTCAGGTTAGGAGGTCTAAAGTGATATGCTTTGTTGCACCAGCACACACGCCCACAAAGTCATAATCTTACAAACGGAATGGGAACAAAGTAAGTCAGCAATTTTTTCATTTTCCTCCGTTTCCGCCCTTTTTCTTCATTTATCTTTCATCTCCCCCCTTTTGGATGTTTCATTGAGAAGGAAAAGTCCCATTGAAGCAGGTCTCGCCCCGCTGTACGTGACTTTGCGGACACTGCTTGTGGCTTCAGCCAAAGCAAGCATTTAACTTTCACCTCACTTATCGGGCACAGGGAAAAAATGAAACTAGAGCATCACTCCATTTTAGATCCACAAGGAAACTGGAATGTCTAGCCAGTCAGAATATACAAGATCTGTTTTCATGCTGGCTGCAGGGATGTGAGTGGCCTCCTACATAGGGCCTTCTCATTGAATAGTATGTGAGGAGAGAACAGTCAGCCAACATCCGTTTTCTCTCGTCTTTGGGGCTTTTTCTGTGCTTTAATTATAAATATACACACAGGAACATTTGGGTTTTTTTTGGAAGCGGGTATGTGAATGTGTGTGTGAGAGATACAGATAGAGAAAGGTTGAGAGAAATCCAATCCCGACTTGACCTGGAATCATTATGTTTCATTGTGTCCCAGATTCTGCAGATTGACAGCTTTGTTTACATGCATAAACCAACACAGCCTTGTGCTGGATTGACATCTGATATTAGAGTTCAAATCACAGGTTGTGTGCTTGGTCATTGAGTCATTAAAAATAAATATCTTTTCTTGGTCTTATAAAAAACAAAGTAGAATATATAACAGTAAAGACAAAAACAGCAAGCAGTGGTTTCCAGTCTTTTATTGGCTTAGATTTTTTCTTTTTTTCTTCTCCTTTTCTCTTTCTTTGAATGTCATGTGTCACGCACAGTAAGCTTGTTCTTTCACACAACCAGCCTCTCCTTCTCTCACCGCGCTCCCGTCTCTCAAGGCCTTCTGTCACATCTGGGTTCAGGGAATTTTCCACAGTGGGCGGCCTGGGTTTTGTGGTAGATAAGCCCAGAGATGAAGCTGAGTCCTGAGAAAATGCTGCAGTTCAAGCAGGTTAAGCAAACTCAGCCAAGAAACCCCATGTGTATATGTGTGGAGGGAAAGGGAGAGAGAAAGTTACTTGGCTACAGAAGGCCTAATGTTTGCAACTGCATGTCAATCCTTGTTAGGTGCATATTTGCTCTCTAAAAAGGCAAAATGGCCGCTAAAGCTGGAGCTGCAAGGTAAAACTACCTTAAAAAAAAGTACACAATACTCACACTTTTTTAATAAATGTTTTTCAAGGAAGAAATGTGTTTTGTTTTTAATTTGATGGGAGAGATTGCATTGGTTGCAGCTGACTTGTTCAGCTGCAGTAGCTACCACCAACTGAAACTCACCCATATCTGCCCATCCAAGTAGAAGTAGGCTACATGCTATTTATTCTGTATTTCTGCTTTGCTTTGGAGTTGTGATTTAATATCGTTAGTGACGAAAGGTTTTGTCATGCTAATGTAACATTTTGACTAACAGGCTAATCTGATACTGAACAACATCACCACACAGTAGCTGCCAAAATGTGGTGGCCTAGATTCATTCTTCTCGACAAATTGAGTGAATGATGTGTCTACCCTGATTATACAATTACAGCATTATGCTTCACACCATCTGGACTGTTATATTGATATCACCAATAATGTAATAAAGAGCCAGTGTCTGATTTTACCTCTGGGCAGACATCCACAATGTACTTAACCATATTGTGTGAATATATCATGGAACAGAGAGGATTTATCCCCCGAAACAGATATATGATACTGGGCTATATGTACTACTGTGCTTAATGATGAAATCAGGCCACTTTGTTATTTTTAGCACAGGTACTATCAGGACTATTTTTCAGCATTCGATAACTACACCGGCAGGTTTGACATGTTGTGAATGCCAAAGACTCATGGGAAGCCAGTCAAATGGAGGCTACATCTCAGAAAGTAGGGCAGGACTTTGGCTCTCTTTACCTCCACGCTACAAACAATTAAAGTGAGGCAGTTCTTTTCCTGTTGTGGTAGATCCTCCTCAGTCCTGCATGTTCTGGGCCAAATTATATCAGCGTGGACAAACAGAGTAAAGAGCAAAGGGATGATGATTTTGTTTGGTGTAAAATAGAGCGCAGTGCAAACACGTGTCAGGAAGCCCCAGGTCATGTAATTATTGCAATGATGTGCAAAGTTCTGGGTCTGACATTGCATTTGAAATGTTGGCAGTCCATCCTGGCAAGGTGACATTAAAATAAGATGGTTTTATTGCAGAAAAGATGAGGAAGAAGCTGTGGGATAGTAACTAAAAAAACACAATTTAATAGAAGAATTATGGCTTATTTTGGTTGAAAAATAAGCAGAAGACAAAGATCTTATGCAGACTGTTGTGAAGATAAAAATGTGTTGCTTATTATCTT